CTAATCAATTTTTATTGAATTTACATAGCTAGAGCCAGAAATCTAAAACAACAAGGGTCTCCCACAAAACTTGACAAGGGGCCAAAGTTTTCCACAGAATTGCTACGAAGATGCTTTATTTGTCCTATAAATCATAGCTGGATTACGCATTCACTACAATTGAACGCTTCTTAATATCCAGTAGAAAGCTTAATGGAATATCTTTTGTCTTACATCTGTTGCAGTCATTCACTAACTATACAGCGAATCACTGCTCTAGGGTAACAAGTGATATATGCCTTCTTCTCCCTAGTCTGAAAAAGTTGATACAACCGATAGAGTCACTAGGGAGAGAGAGCATAAATAGATGGAAATGATCAAACGTCATAAAAAATTGATGCATTTTAAAGTCCTTATTTAAGCCTGTGCACAGGGACGGTAATGCTCAATTTATTAACATAGTTTAGCAACAAAATATTATTTGTGGGAGCAAAAATTAGGAAATTATAATTAATTATTGATTATTTGGTTTATAACTCAACAAATAGGTGTAAACTGGACACCATCATGTCGCACACAATCAGAAATTTCCCAATGGGAAAATGTTGAACAAGCGAAAATGATAGAAGACCAAGAATGGATTAAATTAAATCACATCTAAAAAACGATTCCTTTTAATAAAATCTTTGAAAAAAGGGAGGGGGGCCTTAAAATTTTCAATTAAGATTTAAAAATTTGCAGATTTTCAATTTATTATTTACTCGACTAGGTGAAAATTGAAAGTCCTTCTTTAAATGATAGTTAGTCCAAGTGTTCTACTGAATTCATTTGAGTATTAGCATACTTGAAAAATGCGAGAAAACGGCAAGTAAGACAACTAATTGGCGCTTTGATAATACTGCATAATAAGTAGCAGTGTTCTCTGCTAATGAGATTTTTTTATAATTTTAAACATTTTTGAACCTAGAGGAATAAATGAATGATAAATTAATTATTAAAAAAGAATTCAACAAAGCGTCAAGGTGTCTGATCAACTTACTGGGTTGCATTAGGTGCAATATACTCTGGAGATGCGGAAGCAGAAACGATGACAGGAATTGTCAGCTCTTCATTTTGCTGCAACAACAAATCAAAAGGTTAAATGGTCCACGGAGAGCTTTATTTACCCAACTGTCCTGATCGCATGATACGTGACAAATGATACCACTTCTAAAACAGTTAAAATATTGTTCAATTGTACCTTTGAGTAAATCTGCCATTGATTTTAAACACTGATGTATTTAGACCTTGTTTGGGTTTTTGATTATTTACTGTCCCAATACCTTCAGGTGAATGACTAGAGTTTCTAGAAATTTCTGAATCTTTTAATAAGAAGATACGTTCCATTGGCTAAAATGAAGAATAAAGATTTATAAAAAGGCAAAATTGAAAATTATAATAAATAGTATCACGATCAACTTGTGATAATTGAAGACCGTGAATGGCCTTGCAGTTTAGATATATATCGGTCGTTTTCGATGTATCTTTCAATCCTCCTGGATAACCTTCAGGTATTAGAAAAGTTGAATCGTCGATGCTATTACTGTCATTAGTTCGCAGGTGTTGCGGATTTATGATTGGTAGCTTCGTACCCTCAGGTGTTTCATCGAGAATTTGGAGGTCAATTTCTTTGGTAACATCAAGTGGATTAGGCACATTTTTCGACGTATCCTGTATTAAGATTCTAGGCATGACTTTCAGATCTCCTACCGGTGGTTGTAAAGTAACAGAAGAAATATTGGATTTAAGGAGTTCATGGTCAGTCTTACTTTCGGAGGGACTTGTGGACCTTGAACTCTCAACGGATCCAGGATGTATAGCTTTTAATGGACTCGGAGACAATGAATTTCGCCGACGGGAAACTTTGAGCAAATGACATTTCAATCTGCACAAATCTAGTTTCTTTCTTTGATTTACAGCATCTTGATTGAGAGAATTTGAGGAAGGAACTGCTGAATTCGATGCACTTTTATCTGGAGTTATCTTTTCACAAGACTCGTCTAAAAATATATTAGGAGAAGCTAAAGACCTCTCGGGAGTACATGATGCAGAAGGCGGAATATTGCTCTTGGCATGTTGAGATATTTCGTCCCGATTTGCTTCAAAGCAGGTTTCAGAACGATAAACACTCGCTTCACATTCACTGAGAGATACAGTGCTGTTATTGCATAAGTGATGTAGATATCCCACCATTTCTACCCAACGAGTCTCTAGTTGGCTATAAGGATCTGCCTTTATTTCATCTTCAATAATTTCAATATTCATCATAAGTAACTCTGGTTGAATAGGTTCGAACTCATATGTTTGAATTTGACGACACAGGTCTACAGTTAGAGCGCTCACGATAATAAAAATGGGGTCATTTTCGAATATTTCTAATTTAAGTATTTTAGCCATATGATAGGAGCCATGGAAACTAGATAGCTGGCAAGATTCAATTTGATGAATTGGGAATATTTCAGACACCTCCGAGAAGAAATAGCGTTCTGATGACAAAAGTTGTTTCAATTTAGGATCTGAGTTTCTAGAAAGGGCCCACTGATTTGCTCCGGAATATTTGAGATATACAACATTGCCCTTTAATAAATCACTATAGGGATTTTCTTGAGGAAGATTAATAGGAGCGATAAATGATTTGGTCTCGGTATATTCCCTAGTACATGTAAGAGGAGGTATTTTATCGGTCGTCGACACAAAATCATCTTTTGGATCAATTTTAGATTTTGACATTCTGTTATTTGAATCATGTGTAATTCTAGTATTCGCTGGTTGTGTAAATTCCACACTTTTGGAATGCGAGATAACCGTAGTGGAACCATCTAAGTTGAATGAACTGACGTTGGGAGCCACTTTTTCAGAGACGGAAGGAAGAGGTAAAGAGTCTTCACTGACGGAATGTGAATGTTTAGATTCAGCGAAGCTGACGTATTGAAATAGATTATTTTTAATGTGAGATGATACATGATGATAACCGCCTTTTATTAGGGATCTTTGCTTTCTTTCAGTTGACACAGTATCTCCATAGATTTCGGGAATACAATCAGTTAAAACGCTGTGAGGTTTGGTAATCTGTTTCATTTTCGGAGTAAAAACTAACTCCACGTCACGAAACCCACTCACGGAAAGGGATCGAGTAAAAGAGGGAGAACTGCTTAGACGTGACGAAATCATGCCTCTAGATGGTCGGGCAATGTATACATCTTTATATTCAATATCCACATCAGTGCCCCTATTTAATTCACAAGGATCAGGTATCGATGGGTTATGGTTTACATTTTCGTTTAAATTACTGGAATTTAACTGAAAGGCAGATGAAACAAGTTGAGAATTACTGTTGAACGTTCTAGTTATTATAACGGGTTTAGTGAAATAAACCGGTTTGAAAAGTGACGACTTCATACTATCTAAGAAAATTTAATAAAAGAAATTAGTCTCAAATCTGACGTAAAATTAGTTCAGCACAATCAAAAAATCAATTCAATTGAACTTAGAAATAAATAACTAAGTATCTTGCGGGAAAAATACATCGAGAATCAAAACACTACGAAAACGATCCATGCTTCTCATGTTGGCTTTAATACCTTGTCATTTCACTTATCGTTATAGTTCTAACTAAGCGGTTCTTACTTAGAAATTCATTGGCTAGTTTGTAACAGGCACAAATCAGTATTATACATTCTATGCGCTAAAAGTTACTTTGCCTTTTACGTGTATATATAATTAAAATCTTCATGATTATAGTTATTTTTTAAAAATACCGACGTTCTAAGGGCATTAAATTATGAAATAAACAATTTATATACAACTACCTCAGTTATTTTTTATAAATCGATTATCTAAAAGAATTTAATTTCACTCATCGGCTATAAAGAGAAATCAGTTATATTCCAAAATTTCTATAATGTTTCGGTATTATTACTATTTTGAGCCATATCTAGTTAACAATTTTGTAACTGAATTAGAAATTTTCAATTGGCAGTTGGACCAAAATTTGGAAAATGGTAGCTTGATCAACCACGTAATGCATACCTTCATATTGCTTCGTTTTAGAATTACGCATTTTATTCATCTTCTTATGTAGATTTTTAAAATACGAGAAAACGCTTATTTATAAATGCCGTCTATTGTATTGATTTATTTTAATAGTTCCGATGAACCGCGACTAATATCTGCCCATTGATGCAAACTAAAGAGTTCGGACACAAATGTTTACACTTTACGTTTTTAAAATCATTGGTTTTATCTTCGTCATTGGTAGTTTATTCAGCTAAATTGGCTCGTATTTTGACCGATCTATCAAATAAACTCATGTTAAATACTGCTCAGAATTCCCATTTTGATCTTATAGTTAATCACGATCATACAAAACCTACAAGAAGTTTGTTTGTTTCTATTGTGAGTGATAACATTGGGATGTAAGTAGCATCTGCAGGGGTGTCGTATTTTCATTCAAAGCCACTAGTGCTACGTAGAACAACGTAGTTATTATCAGGTCTGTAATTTAAGGTGTCTGTCCTTTTAAAACCATTATCTCAATTGCAGATGATTAATTTATAAAACGCTTATTTGTGTAAAACCAACACAAAACCGACCGAGAACAAGATAAAATTCGGAAGGCAAATACAGAAGATTCAATATTGAGATATAGATAGAGGGGATGGGAGTAAAGGAATATTAATCGAACACTTGCACACGCACGCACAATCCATTCTATTATCAGCGAATGAACGAAGGAATTCTATATACATCAAAGTAAATGAGAGGTGGAAATAGGGAAGGAAGCAAGTGTTAACCTCACCAGAAAAAAATCAAGAATGCATACATCCCCATCACATATCAAGCAAACACACAAACACAAAGTGATATTCAGCACAATATTTTTCTCGTTCATCGATCATCGAGGGAAAAAGGAAGAGGGGGGGGGGGTTTAATGGTCGAGTGGGGAAGGGATGTCATGATCATTTTCATTCATTCAAATCGGCCTAGGAGTGATAATGCGAGGACGATAGCCCATCAACATGATGGTGACCACCCACCGATGAAACATTTGATCTCACGTTTCCATGGGGATGCTGATGTTGAAGACGTGAATTCACATTTGCCAAATGATTGTACGCACTACGAATAAGAGCATAGGGGAAGCAAGCTTCTTGAAGATTGGCAGTTAAAACAGGCGATAGACGAACGATTTCATCAAAAAGAAGATACACCGAGTCCCGATTTCCATTGTTTGTGACATTGGAGTTGTTGCTATGACGAGTGGATGAGTTTTCAGCAGCACCACTAATTTCTGCAGCAGAGACAAGTGATGAGCATGATTCCAGTCCAAGACGAAGAAGGTTAGAGGAGGCAAGAGCAAGAAATTCCGTCGAACGTTCTTCTAAATTCCCCGGACATAGAACTGAGAACATACAGATCTATAACAGGAAAATTTATGACTTTAGAACAAAAGGCTAAGATAAATAAGAGCATCGAAACTATTATTCGTGCTCATGGCAAACCAAAACCTTTCGAACAGGAGAAAATTGCTAGGATCTAGAGAATATTGAGGAAATTCAGTTGTAAATAGAGAATGGAAACATGAGGAGTGCAAATCAAGGAAATAAAAGAACGTTATGCGATTGCCAGGGAAGTCAAAGGCGAATCCACGTTGGGTCACAACTAGTGAACGGACTGTGCAACCGCACTTACTAATTAGGATCAATAAGAAGCGGCAGACTTGGAGTTTCTAATCAGGTGAGTGGGGAATTCCACAATACTGTCGCTCTAAGCGAGGCGAGGATTGGAGGTAATTACATCTTTGATGATAATTTCAGTTGAATAATCAAGTGATTTCTCACACATTGAGCACCTTACCTACATCGAATAAGAAACTACTTTATGCGCCAATATTTTCAAACATAATTTCTACCATGATATATTTCATTTAGAATAACTACATAGGCATTTTGAGCAAACAAAATTATATATATATATATATATATATATATATATATATATATATATATATATATATATATATATAATGGTGTCCAGAATTGGCGAAAACTTCCACATAACGATTTTTCCATTCTGCTCTGAACGCAAAACCAAAAATACGTTTTAGATATTCCTAGTTGGTGGCTGTTTAAAAAACGATATCAAATAAAAAGTATTTTCAGAATTTCATTTCCCTTTTGACTGTGGAGATATCAGACAATAGAAGCGTTAGAAAGGCGGTATTGTAAATATAATCCACACAACGGTTTATTAACCAAACTCACTACTAAAAATCCCGATGATAAGTACAAAAACCACATGTCAAAAGAACAGGAAGCAATTTGTTCACCACTTACCATGAGAGTGGTGACCGCGTATGCTATGCAGTGCATATTACCCTCATTTGCCGCCAAGTTGACCTGATAGGAGCAGCCGCTGACCTTGGCCAATTGAGGCAAGGCGTTAGCAACAAAGACAATGAAGAGACAGGCAATATCGTACTGAAATTTCAGCGGAGGTTCAGCAGTTGGTGCAGTCAGGCCAGCACCACCATTCATACATGAAGAAGTGCGTTGATTGAAACGGAGGAGGTCACAGAGACCAGCATCCAGACCGTCAGTTGTTAGGCCCATTGCTGCAAAGAGATTGCTCGTCAGTAACGGGACTTCTAAGAGCCTCGCGATTTCTTCAGTTCTTGAATCTAAATCTCTGTTTTCCAGGGTTACACCAGAATCAATCAAGGGTGGAGGTAAGAGCTTGCCCTTTCCTTGACGTCGCATTCGAGTTCGAATACTTTTTGCCGTTTCAACAAGAAAAGGAGCGCGCAGCTAAATTGAAAACATAACAGTGAACATAGGGAATGTAGACATTAGCACACACAGTTGCCCAACAGAAGTATAATGAAATCACTATAATTGTAATACAGGTGAGAAAGCAGTTGAATTCAAATCAAATTCGCTGTTATCTTCTTGCCATTCTCAATCTAATTTATTTCAATAAATTTATCTTTCTCCTAACTGATAAGATACAAACATTTTTCTTGTCCTATATATGCAGTATATGCGGTATCCACCTAGACGCCAGTTTAGTACAGGGAAGCATTTAATTTGTAATTCTCTTGAATATTCAATGGATATACACCATTTCCTTTGTAAGGACAAAAGTAAACCCATTCTGACGTACCATTATATCATTCTTGTGTGATAAAATAGAGTCAAATATTCTCCGTGGTATTCAAGTCACCGGGATTCCATTCCATTGCTTAGGTACTACCACAGGCTAATAGTTCAGGGGATATGCTTTGAAGAACTACAGAAATATTTTAGTTCGTCGAAAGTAACAAATTCAGCAACAATATATCTGAAAAATCTATCAACGACTTATGGTGTAAACAACACCGAAATTTGAGCACATGGCTCAAATGGCCTCGAACAGAGATCACATACATTCACAAAATGTGATTTGCTTGGGATTGTTAAGTCTGAATCGATACACCTTTGGTGTTTGGTAGTACAAGGTGAAACAACATTGCTACTTCAGTTGTCATTTAGAAAAAAAACAAATATCCTTGTAGAATTAACACCCCCTCCACCCCCGAATTTAACTCAGTGAATGAAATTCATCATATTAAATAGTGCTATAAGTTCGAAGAGTGATAAATTAACCAAATTATCGCTAAATCTACAGAACCATAAACTCCCCAGAAATTATCAGATGGAACGCCATTCGGTAATATATTGCACCCACGTATGCGACACCTACACCTGATTTAGGTGAGTTGATATAGTAATAACAATGTAATAAAAATTCACCATACACTGAAGGCGAAGTTACTAATGTGTGTGTCTGCTAACTCAGAGATCAGTGCTCATTGGAGAAAAAAACGTGGACAGTCGTTAAAACATTAATTTTGGGTAGAGAGTAAGTGTTGCAAACACTTCGCCAACATGGTTTGAATTATAATGTTTAAAACTCTGATTAAAGAAGTCAGACATGCCTTCACCACATCACCAAGGGCTTCCCGAAAGAGAGCAATAAAGGCCAAACCGACGCCGATTTCTCGCAAATAAGAAAGGAGCATGTCGACTTTCTGCAATTGGGCGGCAAGTTTGCGTGTTTTGATGGGATCGTCAAAAGCTACTCGCAGATCCTCCAGAAGAGGGCGATTGAGAATAACTAATTTCTTGACCTCTTCAACTCGGGAGCCAATTTGTTCAATAATCCGGCTGTCCAGATACTTCATTCCCACGGGACCTGAAATATAGTAGTTTCGTTGATAGGGAAAGAAAATGAGAAATTGGAGCACTGTTTGCGCTTGAAGAGATTGGGATTAAGAGAGGTAAAAGGGAGAAAAGATGATCAAAATAATGGGTTTTAACTTTATATGAGTTAACTTTTTTCAATCTTGATGTTTCAAGTTTTCGGTTGTCTTTACAAGATCAACTAAAACCTACTTTAAGCGCACCTTTATAGGCGTATGGATGGCGATGTGCACGACTGCCAAGACCGGGTGACTGACAAAAAGCGCTTGCATTAAAATGGCCAGTAAAGGAATAGAGGAATGGGATTTTCTCAAAAGCAATTCCTCAGCCCAACATGCCCACATGCTCCATAGTATTTTCTTCCAACAGACTTGTATCCAAGGCCTAGGAGGCCAATGAAACAATTCAAAATGGGTTAGGAACACATCTAGCAAGGTTATATAAATTTGATATTTGGACTCGGATTATGCACTTTTTATTCGATGACATCTAGCATTCATAATTTTTTTCCAGCTTCTTAAGCACGGGGTGCAGAGCTTAGCGAAACGATGATAACTTCACATAATTTTTACATAACAAAGACAAATTGGGACTCATTCATATTTCAATGAAAGAGGTACTGAAACGAAAGGAAAGTCAAAGCGATGTTCCGGTTATATCGGAACCAGATTTAAGTCTGTACTTCTGTCGAATTCGAAAGTTTCTCATAAATTCTTTTTGCCTTTGCCGTAAAGTTGCACGAAATCAAGCATGAAGAATGATTGGCACATGCTCTTGATTTTCTCACATGAAATTTTTATGACCAGGTAGATTACATCATCAACCATTTGTCATTCACCGAAATGATGAGAAATTTTCATACAATTAGATCAGGCTTAGCTGAAGTCGATGTAAATATGTAATTTACTTGTGTTCACTCCCAAAAAAATGACAAGGAGAAAAAAGTTCGATGAATGAACTGTAAGAAGAATTGGACGAGTCGACACTTTGTTAAGTTAGAGCAAATAAAGGCAAAGATAAACCATATGGTGTATCTTGGCTTTAGAAGGAAATAAATCAGACTTGCTTGTGTATGCACACGGCTGTCCAACTCTAAAAATGAAAGAGGCCTGACCACAATCTCTTAAGAAAGGTCAAAGAAATGTGAGCTGGATGAAATTAACAAAATGATAATTATAGGAGGTCCATGCCATTTAAATGGAACCCCTATTACCTTGAAACACGAGATCTAATTAAAGGCTTCAATGATTCCAACAAAAAGCTCACACGGACAAAGAAGTCTCGATCATAACAGAAACCCTCTTAGCTTATGGTTTCTAGTTTAGAAATAATAGTTTAGCGTGTCCGAAGGTTTCCAACAGTTAGAGATGATTAAATTGAACAAGTTCGATTTTTTCTGATAAAAGGCCAAAAAGGTTATTTTGAAATGGCATGTAGAGGCAATATGGAACTTTTACGAGTTCAAAAGGGAATAGCATGATAATAATGGCTAAATTGTAAATTCTGAGATTTCTGTTAATTTCCAATAACATCTACATATTTGGAAGAAAAAGCAATTAACTCTCCTCTGCAGAATTTTAACAAACGTTGAATAACGCTATTGACCTTTTCAAATCGCAAAGGTCCAACCAAGCCGTCTCGTAATTAAACAGCAATCATCATGAATTGAAATAAATCAACAACCATCAGCGCACAGCACACGAGTTTCGAGATTGTGCAAACCCTTACTCCCCCACTCCCTCCCCCCCCCCCACTACCACAAATGATCTAAACAACCTGCTATGGCTACGTGTAAAATGATGCTACAATCAATGTGGGTGAACCCGGTGATCGCATATTCACCCATAAACACGCATGTAGGCGAAGCCATGCACACATACATACACACACACACACACACACACACACACACAATCAAACACCAATCCAAAGATCAAGTCGACAGGCTTGTCCATAAGCCTGCGGGAGAAATACAAATCAATGCACTTAGAGAGACGACGCACGTATTTTTGATTCACCAAATAACAATAACACGCGTTGTTAGTGCATAAAAATCTGCAAACCAAAATTGGAGTTATGGAACGGGGAGGGGGAGGGGGGGGGGCATCAGCAAGAAATCTTCATGGTGTGTGCGCTGTCGTGTTGAAGCAAAATGGTCTGCGAACATATTCAAAACGTAGGGAAGATCAAAATTTCAGCCAATCGAATTAACTGCCGATTATTGTGCATGAGGGGGAAAAGGAGGTTCGGCAATGACAGTAATGCATTACAGTGGAACTTGCAATATATCATTAAAAAAAACACGAAAGAGCAGGAGTAACCCTTGTTGAAAAAATGTATATATTTTTTTTTTCAGGCAAAATGGAAAAATATGCAGTTGTGCTGTCAAAGTGATAGATGGTCGAAAATAACCTTCTTCGGTAGCATTTATAGTTGCAACTTATTTTTCAATGAATACAATTTCGATTTGTTTATGCAAATCACGATAAATTGGAACTCAAGATAGATAATTGGCGTAATTATCTACATTTCATCATTAGAAAACGAGTCAATGATGCGATAATCATTTCCCAAAATATATTCACGAAAATAACGCAAGTTCAACGGTTTATGAGAATATTTAAATGAAATGAGTGAGTACTTCTGAAACAGCAATTTTCATATGAAATATTGGGTTGGCAACTAAGTCATTGCCGTTTTTGTTGACAGATTCACTCTATACTTTCTTTTGTTTTGTTAACGTGGCCAGAGCATCTAACCTATATTTTGTTCTTACTGTATGGGCTTCTAGGTTAATTAGTAAAAAATTTTTTTTGTATAGTTCTTTAGTTTTGTTTTTATCCCAATTTAAAAATTAAAGAACAGGACGTGCACTTCCGACACATTTTATTGTATTACTTCCGAAAAGACAAGAACGCATCGCAAGCACAAAAGAAGTTATGTGCCGTATATAGAGATGAAGCCTTAAAATAAAGGCAGTGTCGAAATTGGTTTGAAAGATTTCGTTGCGGTGATTTTTCACTGAAAAATTCACAACGATCTGGCCGCCCAGTCGAAGTGGATGAAACCCATATCAAGGCCATTATCGATTCAAATCGTCACAGCACAACACGAGATATTGCAGAGAAGCTGCTCAATGTGTCGCATACATGCATTGAAAAAAAAATTAAAAACCCTTGGTTATGTCAAGAAACTTGATTTATGGATCCCTCACCAGTTAAAGGAAATTCATTTGACGCAACGGATTAGCATCTATGATTCGCCGCTACCGAAACGCAATGAGAATGATCCATTTCTGAAGAACTTAAACAGTTACTGGCGACGAAAAGTGGATAGTTTATAACAATGTTACTCGCAAGAGATCATGGGTGAGGCAAGATCAACCAGCCCAAACAGTATCAAAAGCAGAGATTCGCCAAAAAACAAAAAATTATGGTGTCAGTCTGGTGGGAACACAAAGGAATTTTGTATTTTGAACTCATGCCGCAGAACCAAACGATAAATTCAAATGTGTGTGTTGAACAACTCGAAAAACTGAAGGATGCAATTGAAGATAAGCGGCCGGCATTATCAAATCGGCGGAGGGTGTTGTTTTCCATCATGATAACGCAAGGCCCCCGCACACATCTTTGGTTACTCGGCAAAAATTATTGCAACTGGGTTGGGATGTTTTGTCACACCCACCATATAGCCCTGACCTTGCGCCTTCGGATTACCATTTGTTTCGTTCCATCCAAAACTCTTTAAATGGTAAAATTTTTAACAACGCGGATGATGTCGGATCACACCTAATTCAGTTTTTTAATAGCAAAGACCAGACATTTTACGAACGGGGAATTTTTACTCTGCCAGGACGATGGAAAAAGGTCATCGACAAGAAGGGCCAATATCTAATTGAATAAAGTTATATTTATAAACAAAAATTCCGAATTCGCCTTCTTATTTGAAATCGGCAATGACTTAGTTGCCAACCTAATAGAATTATTTAACATGCCAATCAGCTTTAAATAGTTCAATAGTTACAAGAAATGAACTAAAACAAGCGTTGATGGAATTAAAGTGACTTTCTAATGCCAAATAACTGTTTCCCTGGCTATAAGACGAGAGAGGGGGAGCGAGAGAGTTGCGGTGAGATGGGAGGACCAACCACAGTGATTCAATTATTCAGCCAATAAGCTCCGAATATTGTGGACAAAAAGTCATTAAAGGACCAAGGAGGTGCATTGGGAACTTTTAATTAAGGAGGATTAGGAAATGGCACTGAATTATGCCTATTGGGTGAAAAATAAGACAACCAAATTAATTAAACGGAAGAAGGGCATTTTTATTAGCGTTAAAACCTCACTCAATTGCCATACTATCCCTAGCAATTTCTCTGTGATTAAAATTGAACCAATTTACATTGCTATAGGTTAAAATAGCAGGCCAAACATTTAGAATTCATTTCTATTTAATAATATAAAACACGATAGAGTAAGACCAGCTAACAAATAGATTCAGTATTCAACTTGTATAATAACGTGCAAGTCAATTGAAAGCTTTGAGCTTATGATAAATATTAACTGGGTCAAATAAGTACATATTAAATGCCCTATAATAAGAAATGAAAACCTTTTTTTAAAAGGATGGAAACGCCGAGTCCTCCGAGTCTACATTGTGGTAACACATTGTGATAATGAAATTAAATTAAACTTTCACAAAGTAGGATGGTAGGTTTAGTTTTGCGTTAACATAAACAGTGCGTCAATGAGATTATCACTGGTTACGACTATCAGAACGCCTAAACAACCTCTGCTGAAAGTACAGTGTAAGTGAAAATAATCACCATAAAGACCTCGAGATGTGTGGAAACTAAATATAATGTATTCAGTTATGAGCACACAAGGAAGTTGTAAAAAATGGCTGTTCATGGTGACTGACCCATAGGATGATGATGGATGTAAAATGCTTGCAGAATAGCCGATAGGAACAGTTTAAACCATCAACCATGCCATAATAACGAAAAGCAAGAAGAAGAAACATCTGAAAGGTCATAAGAGCGATGTGTTCCCGCAGGTGATTTCGTAGATGCTTGCGATTACCGAATCGATCACTCCTGAATGGCTGGAACTGTGTCCAAGTGACAGGCAAAGGTCATCTATGAGATACAGGTAAATGATGCTATTTGGATCAAGCATACAAATCAATTGGAGTCACGTATTGCGAGGACTAAACCAACCGAGACACCAACCCCACAGTACCCAATATTAAACACTGTCCGAATTCCAACAAATAAATCAAGTAAAGCTCAAGGAAGAAATTCAGAACAATAGATATACTGGTCACAAGGAGCATCTTAAGGGCGAATATGCTAAGGCAAAAATAAAAGCATGCAAATGATCAAGTATTTTTTCGTCTTGACGATATTAATATTTATTCTGTTTTATTCCTCGGCTATGCTATAAACAATGTTAATTTTTCGAAATTATTTTCCCCACATAATGGAATAACCTTGCACAAAGAACAGAGCTACGTCACAACTGTATACCGTTGAGTAAAGCCGGTTTCCTCAACCCCCCCCCCCATACGTAAATTAAATTGGTATATTTTGAGATTGTTAGTTGATGTTATATGTGCCAATTTAAATCAACTGAACCCTAACCGAACTATGCTATATTAAAACTATACCTTTGTGAGCCTACCCGCTCTTGGCTGTAATGATGAAAAATGCTCAGGTGGTGCGAGTAACAAGCTCTGCGTAATGTGAGCATAAGTCTAAAGATGGAACTGGGCGGCACTTAAGTAAATCATAACACAAGGACATCATAAAGTGGCCTATTTCACAAACAACTTCAAGCGTGATTACCTATCTCTCCCCACCCCCACCCCCTCCATTGTTAAACAAGTGTAGTACCCCCTTTGTACGGATAATAACAACTTGCAATGTATTCATGATATGCCAGGAGTAAGGTTAAGGAATTGAATGAAAGAATCGATAACGAATAAGGCAAGTATACCAATGAGTTCCGAGAGTGCTCGAAGTTCGGCCAGATCAGCATACTCCTCAGCGCGGAACCGAGGAGCATCCGGAGAGGGCATAGTGACGAAACTCTTCAGGAGGGGTGAATAGACAAAATGTCCCACGTAGGCTTGTTGAATGAAGTCATCAGCGTACCATTCGGTATAGCATCTGGTGAGTGTTTGGACGGTCTGAATGAACATAGATATGTATAAGAGAGCGGGAAAATGAACTTAATACAATCACAAATATTTTTCTTATTTTTAAATAGTCTTTTCCTAGCCTTGAGAACAGCTACGATTTACCGTTAATGTTAACCATAAAAGTTGAGAAAAGATCAAAGACCATCAAGTTCAAAGAATGAAAAAAGGCGTTTCCAACGCGTCAATATTAAATTTCACCCAAAGACTGATGCAATTATTGTAACGACTTTTTTCAATTTGATGTTCCTTCCCCTCTGTGAAGCCTGAAGTCAACTAAGGGGGGGCTAATGATAACTATCAAAACGCCTGCCATTTGATATAAATAAATAAATTATTAAAATATAAGCCAATCGTTAAAGTTATAACTGACTAATAAGTACTTTGGTCATTAAATACTCACGACGCAATTTCACTACAGATGATAGTCATTCAATTCACAGTGTTGAGATTGAAGTTATTCAATTATTGTGAATTTGATAAATATAAAACAGCAAGGTCATCTCATTCCAAGAATATCAAACCGCATCATCAGCCCAATTCAATTCGTGTGAGAATATCCTCTGATTTATCCTTGCCAAGATAAACGATGAATCACCAGAAATTAGACAACAGTCGACTTCATGAGGTAGGTGAAACCAAACTTCGACCTAACCTATAAATGACTATATTATGCAGTTGGGGAAATAACAAATCATGGACACATTTAGCTTGTGTATAAGATGTATGCAATTGACATTTAACCCGATATCCCAAACGACTCGATTACTATGAAAAGACTGGCAAACACACAGTCGTTGAAACGCAACTTTTGGCTAGAGCTGGAAATCAAATAAACCAATTCAATGAATACGAAGAAGAGCTACTTCGTTTGGATACCTAAAAGAATCTTCGAGATTCATTCCCGAAGCATTGAATGATCAATTACTGAACTTCTACACTGGAACCAAGACTTATAGGAGTACCTCTGAGGCAACTACTGACCGCCAATCTTTAACCTAGTACCAAAAAGTATTCAGTCACCGTGGTTAAACTCATTTTCACACATACTTACTTGGGCTACAGTTTTCCCTACTTCCTGTGGTTTGAGAGTCGCGGCTGGATAGAGCATGGTTAATTTTTACTTCCACAAGGTGTGGGCATATGGTAGAGTTGCAAAGAAAGAAGGAGAGCAAAAGCAAAATATGACCTTTGAAGCTATTTTTGCCTTCTTACTTTTTGGCCAGCAAAAAAAGAATGCATAACGAGCTAAAGTGCAATACACAAACTGCGAATGATCGAAGAGAAATAGTAAATGCTACAATAGCTGCACAGAGATATTTAACGAGAATTGTTGACTTGATCCCGAGAAGGAATATTTCCATTTTCTCTAAGTTCCGCTGTTGTTGCAATATCATCAACTACTTCATTAAAAGAGCAATTCAATGCATATCTAGCTATTGGCGATTGGAATTGCCCATAAAGCGAACTCCTTTCAGTACTTTGAAGAACCCTTTGCAGAAATGACTAGTAGTTCATGATTTTATCCACTACGTCAAAGTGGACATGAATAAAGAAAGACGCAGAACCATTAATCAAGCATTAAATACGCACACATAATCTATTAAAAACCTCACTTAGTCTATAACTGCGAGTTTTAGAAAATCAATTTGAAACAACTTTCACTTTACTTGACACTCATCTGTTCGTACCATTGGGAATTTCTTGTACGTTTCTTTAAGATTTTCAATTGCTCAAAACAAGGATTATGTACGAGAAAAGTAAAATAATCGTAAGAAAAGGAACAGTCGAATTTCGAAAGATATACGACAACACAAGCAATTTCAACCGCCAAGATAAACAAAAAGACCTTGAACTTTAAACCGATAATCCACCCTATCCACTAGGTAAACGCCATTTGGTTTAATCACTTTCAGAGTAAGAAAGGCATCTTATAGAAAGTCGAGTGAGATTTTTGTTAGGAAGTAGCAAATACCATTAACCGACGTTAATCATTCTAAAACGGGCAAAGATGCATTTGGATACTTTAAGTCAGATAAGTCGAAAATCCTCTCGAAACTGCTATATGGCCAACATGCATAAGCGAAGTAATACTTAAACGTGAGCTCAGATTTTACAATGAATTAGTAATCATTACATGAGCTTTAAGAAAATGACGAGTTAAATAAGGAATTAAAAACCAAAGCTTAGAATGTAAAATCGATACGGATTCAGAACAAAGAATACAATGTGATGGGAGGTTCAAAGACGCATTTTCACGAAAAGTATATCTCACAAGTTGAATACATTTAGAAAAATGAGAATAAAAAGAGATATGAAGGAAAGTGGGTTTCTAACATGGATGAATGAATAAAGCCTCATAATGGAAAAGCAAGCGTTTCTAGTAGTCTCTATATCGACCGCGGAAATATTGTGGATTGAAGGGCATCTAAGTGAAGAATTCTCCTATATGGGCCAACAAAATCAGTGAAGGTTGGCATTAAATAGATGGTGGAGAAAAATATAGACAAACAAGCAAAATCAAATGTCAAAACCAACGCCTAAGCCAAATTCACTTAGGAGGAGAATTGACAAGGATGGTTAAATGATTTTCCTTTTTGACTTCCCATTTTTTCCTGCAATAAAGTTCACAAGGGCGCTATCCCGTATAACCTTATAATAAAAAATAAATTAAAGTGAATCATGAATGTTGAAAAGGAATAAACCCTAATAGATACAGAATCCAACAAGGAAGTTGGTGAATGTGACCCTACAAACTAGTCTTCAACGCCCATGACCCCATTAATAAAGTATTACCGAGTTTAAGAACTGAATTGACAGATTCAACACTATTTCCAAATAAAAAGTGTAGCACTAGTTTATGAGAAAACTACAATAAGTGTTGATCAAGTAACTACCGATCTTTAAAATAGTGCCAAAAATAAAAAAAGCTTCCACTGTTGTTTAATAATTAATTGAAATTGTATTATAATACCACTGGAGGAAAATTTAAAAGGCACTCGAATTCGCGATTGTTAGAAATCGGAAACGAATTATTTACATACAGCTGATCAAAGTTCGCATACATCGCTTTCCCAGAAATGGATTATTGATTATTGGCGTCGTACACTTCTGTCTGGGTCAATAATTTCGCTAAAGACGAAATTTACTGGTTAACAAAGTAGTTAATTATTTCTAACGTAGCAAATTCTCCATAAATTGATAAATTGCCTAATTTTTTGTCGTTTGCGCTATAAACACCTTCACTCGTTCCTTCTAGGGTTGAGTAAGCTAACCTCAATGAGTATCTATCTGATGCAGTCAAGCCCATATCAGTGGCAACACATACCCTTTACATCATTTGCGAAATGAGTGAAATGGAATAGTACTAAAACAAATTCATTTTTATTACTAATTCTCAAGTTCATCTTGGGTTATGGTTGGGATCGTTGAGGCTTCATAATAAGATATTTGAATTCCCGCCAGCCAGGTTATTAGCCAAACTTGATCATTCCTCCTCCCAAGGGGTGCGCATTCATGGGGACTGAACACGATCTCAAACTTAACAGATGTGATAACGCTAAATATATTACGCCATTAGGACATAAGTCCGTTTTTCATAAATCGTAACAGGGATGCAAAATGAACCGAAGGCTACAAAGTTCAATAACTATCTTCGTGTAGTGTAGATATTCTTATTCTTAGGTTTCACCTTTTTTCCGGTTTTAAATAGGAATATTTCCCTTTGGTGGTGGTCATAATCATTTAAACATTCATAGGAATACAAATATTCGTTTCAATTTGTATTCCCCCCCCCCCAGAGCATCTCTGATTTCGAAAAGAGCTAATAAAAAAGTTAATGCTCAATAAGAAAATGTAGAAGCTTTATCGTATGGCTAATACTATTTTGAAAGACCCATTTTCGTTAAATTAGCAGAGTCAGTCAGTGCCGCAAAAAATGTCCTAAACTGGCTTTCAATTATGTATAATAGCAACAATGGAAAAAGTTACATTGTACTGTAATCATCGCGATGTTAATATCCGCATTAAACTCATATTTTAGGAAGGGAGAAGGGGCCATAAATTGAAGTTACTCATTTGACTGGTAAAACAAAAACTGGAAATAAAGGGAAGAAGTCGATTTGTAAAGATGGAAATTTTCAAGCTGATGGCTACAATGGAACATGATTATTGAATTCAGGTAATCATCTATAATCACTATACTCACTTAAACTCGAAAAATAACTTTAGGCATCTAATTACTCAATGCCGGGCAGCATAATCACATCCACAAAGCGCGATAATAACAAGCTTGACTAAAGTTACCAAGTGAGACATTAGAGGGTAATATTTCCGACACATCAAAAGCCAGACAAGTCTAGCATACAACCCAGACACAATAAAAATCATATCTTAGAATGCACATAAAGAGATCTCAAATTCATAAAATAATAACAATCACCTTTGAGGTATCACTGCCAGGCTGGGCATGTTGTTCAAAGATGCTAGTGAAGACTGCTACAACATCGATTCGAACTAGATCCTCCAGGTCAATGAGAACCTCCATGAGGGCTCGAGCTCGACGAAGCATGTCTGAGGGTCTCACAAGTCGATGCAACTCCACTTCCGTCTTGTCATTTGGACCGGTGGGACTGTTGAGCAAAAAACAAAGAGTTGAAATAATAGAACATATGAACAAGCAAATGGAAACAGATATTTAGAACTTGATTGAAACTTTAATTTTACGCTCTCATCAGAATCAGAGATAAAATCATATTAGCGTCTACCTTGTTACTTATTACTTACCTAATTGACTAATACACAAGTTTAAACCATGGCCTTACACTTGATCAACTGAATAGATGCAATCAGCCCCACAGACTAGACTTTAGGTATATTGGGTATGGTTGCGAAGCCTTTTTTAGGAAAGACCTTTGGTCATCTCAAACTTATGATTAGAAGATTTGATATTGTGTGTCTCAGAGCCAGCAGCGTAAAGCGTTAACACATGCAAAGCACCATATTGCGCGCCGATTATTCCTCCAGCCACATCAGTATTGTGACCTTTAAATTGATATGATCAACCTTCACGTAGCCTTCTTGTAATTGATCTTTGGACTCGTAATTTAGTCGCAGGCTTTCAGTTAGCAGGAAAAAATTAAAGTTGAAATGAAATAAAAAGATGTATTTTTTAACTAACTTGCAATATGGCATAAAATGAGCTTACAATAAGTTCTATTTAGATTCGCACTCTTGCCTCGAATTATCATCTCAAATTCGCTTTTTCGTTCCCTTCAGCCCCTTGCCTGGTCATCACATCCCTTAATGGTCGTTAACTTTCCATACACATTAATCCCCCCCCCCTCCCCCTCCATACTCTCGCAAATACGACTTCGTGCCTAGTCTGGTTATTTTATGAGTGATCTGTTACAAAAGGGGCAAACAATAGATTCGATTGAGATGTGCCCTCTTGCCTCTGCATTAGCTTCCACAATTAAAATCTTCTTAAGCATTTAGGATGACTATTCCACTCAATAGGTGTTCATCGAACCCGTGAGCTCTGACTTGTAGAATTCATTAATCATTAATCAATACACCACCGGTTATATTGTATCGGATTTAGGCGGATAATATCAAGACTTAGACGTATTAGACTGACGACGAATACGGAAAAAAACAACTATAATCACAAGAACAAATCTTAGAAAAAATACAGCCCAACGTGTAAATTCGTACATTTAAAAGATGCTAGATTAGGATAAACGTCCTTGGGAAAGAAAAGTGAACTTCGATTTCGGCCAATGGAGTGGGCGAAAGAGCTAGTTACTAAATTTTGGTTGACACTTGCATTAGAAATGGCAAACGGGAGAATTTTGTACAAAACTATGATGCTCAAGTTGCCTTCATACGAGAACTCAAAACTAACACGATAGGAAAGTTGTAATAGTATTTTAAAAGCAACACAATAATTCAGAATCCTTCTTTTTACAGATGTACTAATATAACTGCTACAGAAAATACTCACAAAATGGTGTTCTGGACACAGGAGAGAAATAACAATCACAAGGTACCCGATTTTTCCACCCCTCAAGTTTGCACAAAACTAAACAGAAGTTTGATTTTGAACAATACTAACTGCAAAAGAAGGCAAATAAATGAAAAAGTGTAATAATATGGGCAAAATTAGATATTCCCTTCACAAATTAACTGCGATTATACAACAGAATGAGAAGTGCAGCGCAGCTATCAACCCTCGAATTATCAACTTAGGGATCATGAATCGTTTAAAGATAAAGGGGTTTAGTGGAATGATGGTTCCGATTTAAAAGTAAATTTTGTAAGCAATTGCATCGGTAAGATGGTATAAATTGGAAAAAGGAATGACAATTGAAAATAAAAGAAGACAATTTGACATAATCAAAACAGTGAGGCTGGACTAGGATCTTAATATAAATTGAAAGTCAGATCTACCAAATTCGGATAATATATCCAGGAAAGAGGTGCTATAGGTAAGAGGGGGAAAGGGGGTAGACATTCGTCGCATAGAATGACACTTAAAGGCGGCACTAGCCCATCAACATTTTGAAGATGACTCATCACAACACGGGGTGTTTAACACACGCGGACGCGACAGGGCTACACACAATTTCCTAATTTCGTCCAGCGAAATACGAAACGTCCAATATTATGCAGGCGCAAACAAAAAGCGTCATAAAGCAACAGGATTGTAATGAGTTTAAACCCAACCACTATTATTACTAGCAATCTTGTTGAGGAAAAGTGGTTGGAGAATACCACCGTGAAGCAATTGCATTCTATCTCAAATGGTTGGCATTAAACAGTATGGCTGGTTGAAGCATCCATTGAATGCTCGCCGATGAATATCTAAGTTGTGACCCCTCACAAAAATATTAGCTGCTACGCCAGTGTAGCAGAACAAAAGTATCCTAAAAATTGTTCAAGATAACGTAGAGCCTAGAAATGCTTCAAAACATGTAAACTCTAACTTTGTCGGCCTATAGAAAACAAAAAAAGAGATGATGCGCCAAGTAGCAACAGGACATCGTGGCCAGGAATTTTCTCAGTAACCCTGGAGGCTATTCATGAAATTTAAGTTTTAGAATGTGAAATTCCCATTAGGAAGTACTTGACCCGATTCCAAAAATCAAATAAAGAAGAAATCTTTCGATACCCTGCGACGTTGCCAAGATTAAGATTATAGCCACACTTGAACTACTTAATTTTACTCAATTCCAGTTGATTCTCAAAATGAAATGGGCTATAATACAATAGAAATAAGACACCATAAAAATTATTCCAGTGCGTACAGTGTAAGGAGAAAGTGCATGAACTACGCTTATTCTGAATGCACCGCCTTCTTCTCTTACGTGAAAATTTCTCACTGTCTCTAATTACTGTGCAAATGAGATCAGACCAATCAGAGAAGAGAGAGAGAGACGGCGGCCGATTTCAGGATGATTCACTGAATCCCAAGAGAGGAGGGAGGGAGGGGGGGGGGAACCAGACAGTAGCTCTACTATAAGTAGTCAATAAAAAACATAATTGCATGGCTTAACGCAACAACACAAACAGACTACTTGTAATAGCAATACATAATAAACTTGCTGAAAAATGCCCATTTTGAAAGAATTTCAAGGTATTTACACACTATAATTGTGTAAAGGTATGTAAGCTAGAAATAGTACAAACTCAATTACACTATAAATCCCTAAATATGTATATATTCAAGGAAATAAACATAATAGGACATAATAATCTCTTTGACAAAGCATTTTCACTAATATCTTCATGCCTAAAACATTCGATGAAGCAAATGTACACCACTTTGTCAAAAAATTTTGCTATGATGATTACATGAAACTAAATCATGACCCTTAAAAGCACAAGTTGTTACAAAATCGTTCGAATCATACTATTTCCAAAGCGACTAGAAAAGAAAAATTTTCTAGCATTCAACTTGGGAAGAAAGGTAGTACTCCGGAACCTCTTCGATAACAGACTACCTCCACCCATTACCACTGATCATATCGAATAGTTACTTCATTTTGGTAGATAGGCATAACAACCACAAGGCCGAAAGCACATCGACTTGAACTAACCGACTGATATCAACAGGCCATTTGGCCCGCGATGAAGAGTGTGCTTAATTTACTGAGGTGGAAACGATAACAGTTGGTAATTGTTCAGGATCAAGCAAGATGGAAATACCTGAAAGAACGTTAGGCCATAGCATATTTTTGCCTTTTTGAAAATGAGAGACAAACCAAAATTATGGACGGTCATTATGTCAAAGAGAGAAAAAAAGAAGAAGGGGAAACAAAACGAGCAAGCATGATGAGAATGTATGCAGAGCATAATCAGGACAATGAAAGAAGAAAGTTAGAAAGACCACTTAAATTTCCTGGACTGACTGGCTTTACGCAAGGGAAGGGAAAAAGCTGTCAAGTCCTAGATACGATTACAAATTCGATGAGTCACTTTTGATATTTTTCTCCCCAAACGCACACATCTTTCCTGTTAATAACTAACTGCGTAAATCCCCTATCCCCTCCTATCACAAAAAGTTATATTGAAAGTAAAACAACAGATAATGAATGACTTACACGATAGGCACAATCGGACGAAGATACTCAAAGATTCTCAACTGAAGTTCAGTTTGAAGGACGGTACGGGGATCAAAAACTTCCTCAAATGCATGTAAGTCCTTGCGGAAGGTGAGAGCAGAACAGAGTTGTGAGAGAGTGAATAGAGTCTTATCATAAGAGGTCTGGTCAATTCGATTGTGTCGAAAACTCTCCGTACCAGGCATTACGATTGGATTCACAGCAGGTTGGCCACCTGACGCACCTGACTTATTCTTCTTCATAGTCCCACTCTCCTCCACCGACTTCTTTTTCATCAGCTTTTCTTCGACTAACCACGGTACACTCTTTTGTGGTGCTAACTGTTCAGCCAGATTGCACATCTCCTCTAAATGGACGAAAAAGGAAGAGCACAATGCGTCGACTAACTTCCTGCAAAATCTGCGCGTTAGATTTCCAGAAGTTTTACCGATGAGGTAGCGTTCTCGAGGACACATTTCATGACAAGTATTGGTAAAACTGGCGGGCATGGAGAGAAAAACGCCGGAGTAGCGTAGTTGAGAGGGGTAGACAAGACTATGATTGAAAACCTCCTCCAGTTTATTCCAGTAAAAGTAGTAAACAGAGAGATCTGAGACTTGTCTAAGAAGATCCTCAATCTGATCAATCAGACGAGTATGGAAGGTGGTGGAGTGCAAGTGTGTAGCTAATCGACAACAGTCTACTAGAGGAAGTGGTGATTCTTTTGCGAAGAGAACAGTCTGCAAACGAAGCCAGTCAAGTCGAAGACTAGCGAATTCACAATGACGAGGAGCGCTGGAAGTCAAGACATCCTCGACTTCACGCAACTGAGTAAGCATTCCATTAAAAATTTCCACCTCATCCCTAGGTAGCTTGTTTTTGGATGGACGAAGATGTTCTTCTAACCCCGGAGCATCGTAAGCCGGAAGCATTTGAATATGAAAGCGCTGAATAACGGGAGAATAGCGTCTGACCAAATTACGAAGATCTTCAATGTAGTAGAGCAACTCGGGTAAAGCTACATCAGCGAATTTGTCAACATTGATATTCTTTTTCAGGGGGACATTACATGAGTGGCGAAGGAGCCAACAGATCTCATCTGCAGCATAAGACAACCCCCAAAAAACAATGAAAGCTTTGGGGCCAAGGAGACCCGGTTGATCAGATAGAACGGAGTGAAGTTGACGTAGAGAGGAACGCAGATAATCTCGCCTGTCAGAATGAGCCCCAGGGGCTTGTGAATAAGCAATAGACATGGCTTCTTTGATATCAGAGAGGCGTTTAGATGACGATTTACCTGTCCAAACAGACTCATAGAAGAGAGTTAGAAGTCCATGGACGTGAATAACCTCATCGCGGAAAAGAACAATCACATAGCTGTTTCGAAGAGCAAGTCGAATTCTTGCAAACGAATCATCCCCTTCCCCAGAAGGTCCGATTAGGAGAAATCCAAACACAACCCAACGCTCCATCACCTCATAGGAGAGAAGCTCACAAGGAAGCTGATCACTTAGCGCTGTGTGAGTGATCTTTGAGGGTTCTGCAAGGATGTTGAGAAAGAGACTATCTCGCCAGTTTTGTGCTCGAACAGTTCTTCGAACGAAAAAGTCATGAAGAGATGACAACGCAACTGATAGCACAGAAGCAAAGGGTTTGAATTCCTCCAGAAGACGTTTTAAAAGAGATTCTGGGCTGTCAACAAAACGCTCGGCCATTCGAGAAAAATTAGGCTCAGGTTTTCCATTAGCTTGTTCAAAGAGAAAATTGAAAAGCATTAAAATGGCCTTTAAATCAGGGATTCTCGTGAGGAAATACATCATTGCAAAATAGTTTGTGGTGAGCTCGAGATAGAGATAAGTCAAATCAGAATTAAGATTGATTTCAAGATGAATTCCAGCATTACTAATTCGTTGAAGAAGGTCCAGAACATTATCCTTAACCTCCAAAACGTCCACAAAGTTATAGTAAAGTAAAGAGGTTTGCTTATAAAATTCCTTTTGATTACAGAAGACATTCAGGGTAGAATTTGAGCGGGTTTCAACATTAGGAAACTTTTTCAGGAGAATCTTCCAGGCGTTGTCAAATGCCTTATCTCCACCGGGCAAGAACGGATGGCGAGTTTCAGGATCGGCAAGAGTGGTTTTCATAAAATGTAACCGACTCAAAACCCCTAGTTGGCGCCTGTTTAATATTGACAATCGCTCAGCGATCTTCGGCTGCTTGATACCGGTAGCCATCGTCAAATAAAACTATATCAAGCTGAAATCGTATGTGAAAATTGCATAATACCGCAATATTGTTTAATTATAAGAATAGTGCAAGTTAAATGGATTCATATTCATGAAAGCCATATGAAATGCAAACACCAATAAATTTTAAAAGGGAAAAATTAATTTAAATACATGTGATTAAAATAAAACATGAGGATTCATAGAAGAAAGATATAGTTATTTTTACTAAAATATCGGCTGACATAGCTTACTCTGCTAGACCTCAAGCATCACAAACAGCCCACAAAATTCACAATCGCCGCATAATAAAATTATTATTTGGTGTTAATAACTGATAAAAACAAATTATAAAATTTAATTATGTAAAAATTCCAATTCTTTTTCATTTTAATTATGCTTGTAAAAATAGTTATATTCATTTTGATGGTTTTAAAACATTAATGGTCATTAATCAAGTCGGCATTACTTATGTTAAGTACTCGTGAATCCTGGGACTATGGCTGGCACTTCTCTGAGGAGGTGGGGTGTTAATAAAAGAAGAATTTGAACGTGAAGTTAAATACCATAGCCTCTGTGCTTGTTTAGCGAGATCATAAATAAACGGCAATCTGGATAATTATGGCTTTCCCACCTTCATACATTTGTATATGAAGACTTCAAAGAAGGATATATCAGCAAGGATGGTTCATTCAATAGAAAAAGTAGAGACCGAAGATACTTGTCATTATTATGAACATATGGAATTCCGACATCTCGATATTACTGTTTAACTCTTAACATGCGCGCAAAATGTTTTCATGAAGCCAGCCTTTGTTTCATAAGTATGCGCATTTTATTGGCTCTGTTGGTCTTTTCCCCAACTTCTCTCAAGGTTAACAATCAATATTTTAGATTGCTAAACATTTTCTTTGTAGAGAATTCAAATGGTCTGGTCTAACAGCTAAGGCATCTTGATTCTTTCTGGAGAATAAACCATTTAGCTTCTTGCCATCTGCACTTCAGTTTCTTAGTAGAGAACAAAGATCAAAACAGAAAGAAAGTTAAGATGAACGTGAAAGATAAGGATTGCATTAATGTGGGGAGAAAGCAACAGTATACCTCCACAGTTATTTGCATAGAGTACACGCCTGACAAAAAATAAGAGCTTATAGATTGAGACATGTAGATGATTATGTTTTCAGCAAAACCGGTAGGTATCAATTGACCGAAATTTCAAAAACCTACTTGTTAAGGGATAGATTTGTCAGATAGGCCTGGCGAAACACATTCATAGAGTAGGAGTATACCCTCAACTAACATGCCTTATATGAGGCCTACAGGAGGAAATAGAGAAGACCCACTTGACTCGGTGACCAGCCCTAAAGACAAAGACTGAAATCCGGAGATACTGGGAAGCCAGAAGTCAACTAATGGGCTAGTGATAACTAATCTAAAGCCTTCCACTTGAAAGATATATTACCCTGGAAATTAAAATTTATAAAAATTGAAAAAGGTGAAAATGGAACACCTCTCTCTTTAAATACCAATAAACCCGATTATTAGATGATTATTGAAAAGGGCCAGAAATCGGTGATTGTTAATCAAGTAAGTAATTTGGATTTGGGCCTTGTGAAATTTGTTTAATGGGTTGTTCGTATTCCAAGTTGAAATGTAATGAATCATCAATATGAATTTTGAGCAATTTCTGCCAACGACAACCAAACCATATTGACGCATTTGACAAGCTAGACTATTTATGTAAATGCCTAATAAACTCCGCATATGGTAGACATAAACTGTCTTCGAAGTCTACGAATCTAATCCTGAAATTTGAATCTCAGCATATACAGATTATGATTGAATGAATTACACTGAAAATATACAGTCTGTTTAGCCAAGATATTACTTAATGCCTAAACTCTACTCTCAACTTATACCTGATCACCTCTCTTGACACCTTTGGAACTGCTACTGATCTCCATGCTCATTCTACCATCTTGCCCTACCCACGTGACTTACCGATTACGAATCCTCCCTGCGATTACACCGTTAACACCCCTTTAACTTCAGCTTATCCCACCAAAACCTTGAACATAGCTAACTGAGAGTGTCAATTTCACTCATTTACCAACTTTTGATTTCAACCTGTTTTGTGAAATATTTCAAATTCAATGCAAGTTCTTGCTCGTGAAAACAAACCCCAATTTTAAATGAATCTCTGAATGAAAGAATATGCTAATTTACTTTAAAAAGAAACCCATGATATTTTGCGCTCCTCCATCGTAGTTTTTTTTCTTGTCGTTTAAATGCCAACGTAAATGACATTTTCTCTCCAAAAGAGTAATCAATCAATGGGGAATCACTGCAATTCGCAATATCTTTTTTATATCTTCTTTCCGATTGTTTAAATTGACTAAAATGTGACCACAAAAATAATCAAAATAATATACTGGATGTAATTTGGTTTACATCCTGTCGCTATAAAATGAATGACAGAAACCCGATTTGCATTATTATTAATTGAGAAAGAACACCTATATGCTTTCTGGAAATCAGTTATCTCCTATAATAGTAATCGCTTGATATATCTCTTAGAAAGTTAAGAAAATGTGTTTCAAAGACTCCATACTAAGAAATATTTTCTTTGAATTGGGCAGGGAGATTTGAATACTGAACTAAAATGGACTAGTCTTCTCTGTGATATGAACACAAAAGCTATTAAAGAAACGCTTGAATGTTTTCTTCATTCCAAAATTTAAAATTAACGTGGAATGGAAAGTGGGATTAACTATGTAATTCAAAGAAATTCTTACAATGAATGTTCATTGATTGCATTTTTAGGCCTACTATTTGTGAAAAAGGGGTGTGCGACAGACTTACCTCCACGTGGTGCACCCTGGGCAACGTATACTCATACGGCAAAAAAGTCTATTATTCGGCAGTTGACTTCTGACTTCAAACTACCCAGACCCCACTGCATTTCATATTCGAATAATTACACAGTACTCACCTCACCTTTTTCTACCTTTGTGTCTGTCTGTCTCTTTTACGTCTGTGAATCATTATTCTGTCCTCCTCTCGACGTTTTGCCACTTTACTGTTTATCTTCCTTTCTGTGAAGCCTGAAGTCAACTAAAGGGTTAATGATACCTATCATAACGCCTGCCATTTGAAATAAATAAATAAATTTGTGAAAAAAGCCCTTTTTGCATCCATCTCAAGGGAAATAAATGGAGTCAAGTGCTTTTGTAGCTTTGGGGTGGAACTAATAGGTATTTCATCCTTCCAGATATACATACACAGCTGTAATTTCAGTGTTGTTAGCTGCCTATCAAAGATAAAGTCGGACGAGTGTTGCCCAGATGGGGAAAAAACATTACTTTGAGTAAGCAGCAATTGA